AGTTCTATGATAAAATTTTAAAAATTTTCTTCTAGTAAGTCAACATTAATGTGTCAACCTTCGATGGGTGATATGTGCTCCAGCGGTACCAGTGATAGTGTCTGGCACTTAATTACTAATTAGTTACATGAAATTAAGAAGATGGATCAATAGACCCACAGGGAGTCCCCAAGGACTCTCTTGAAAATCCCCGAGAACTCCCCAGGGACTTCCTTAAGAATCCCATAGAACTCCTGTGGGAGTCTTGAGGAATCCCTCTTGAATCCCTTAAAAATCCTCCATGACTCAACAGAGGATCCTGCCGGGGCCCCGTGACAGGACTCCTGCTGACTCCTGTAGGACTTTTTTTCCAGGACTCCTGCAGGAGATTAATCAGGAGTCTCGATTAGGGAATATTTTAATTCTCTCGTTTAGAGACAGTACACGAAGCGACGCAATATCAGTTAACGTGGCCAGCATTTTTGGCGGGGAAAAATCCCCAAAGGAGTTGGAGCCGTTCTGCATTGTTTTGTAGGAAAAGTAAGTTTATGAGTAGACTTACAAGCAGAGCTAAACATACCAAACTGGATATCATTGGATTTCTTTCTAATCATACTCCACAATATGGATGCTACAAATATTCCCCTTATATTCACATGTTCATATATAAATATTTTCTATAACCCTCATAAACATATATTTCTATAGGTCTAGGGTTTAGTTTTGATGTGTCTAATACGGCTTTCACTACGCTTTTATGTTATTTGATTTTATATCAAAAAGTAATTGTTCTTTGCTATAGTCAAAATATTTAAATCTACTTATGTGTTTAATATTTTTATTTATTTATTTATGGATGTATTTTTTTTTCATTTATTTGTTGTTTCTCGTTACAACTATCAGACTGATGTCAGAAATTCTCTCTTTAATTGAGTGTACCTTTTTCTGTTTTTTGTGTTGTTTATCTCTTTTTTTGTCTAACTTGTCAACCTTATTACATAAGGACAATAAATGTTTATGTTCAAAAAAGCAAGTCATGGGTTTAACTATATCATCCGTATTCCAATGTTTCTTTGGCAAAAAAACAAATGAGAGAATTTTAATGGTACGTGAACTAATGTTATAGTTGTGAATAAAAGATTAGAATTAAACTTCTCTTTTTGTTATAGGTAAAACGACAATTTCATGTAAATTAAAGTTAAGAGAAATAGTTACAACAATTCCAACCATTGGTATGTTTGTGTCTCTGACTTTTATTCATAGATGAATATAAAAACATTTTCTCTTTTGCAGGTTTTAATGTTGAAACAGTTAAATATAAAAATATTAGTTTTACCGTATGGGATGTTGGCGGACAAGTATGTAATAGTTTAATCTATCCAACAGGAATATGAATTGCTGCTAGTTCAGCAAAGGTGTTCTTGCTAAAATTGTAGTATACTTGGTAGTGAGGAATACATATTCCTCAATGGATAGATGTCCATCTTTTCCTGTGAATATGTCTACGGTACTCGTTACATCTATCGAAAGTTCTACAATATGAAAATATTATTTTAAAATAGTATTGTGTTTTTTAGGATAAAATTCGACTACTATGAAGACATTTTCAAAAGACACAAGTAAGACCATTATACCGAAGTGATTCCTCATTACAGTTTTATTAGTCAGGAGTAGAAAGTGGCTTCTGTTTATATAATCAACTCACTCTGATTTAGCTGTCGTTATTTTTTGCTAAAATCTTTTATGTTCTCTCCTACCGACATTTTTGTTTCATTCGTTTTTATTTAGACCTGATATTTGTTGTTGATAGTAACGATCGTGAACGAGTTGGTGAAGCACATGATGAACTTCAACGTATGATAGCTGAAGATGAACTAAGAGAAGCTCTTTTATTAATATTTGCAAATAAACAAGTATGTATAGGATCGCCCCTATGACAATCTTGATGTTGTCCTGGATCGCCCCCATGCCGTCCTTCACCTATTTAAGGTCGCTGTTAACCTTTTCAAGGTGACCTTATCAAGGTGCTCTTGACCTTGTCCTGGTCTCTCTTGACCGGTGTCAAGCCATCATGTAACTACTCCTAGGCGGTCTGCCCGCTAGTTGCTGGATCAGAAAGCTAGAAAAAAAAGGACAGTTAGATGGTATTTGACAGATATTTTAATTTTCTTTTTTGTTCGCGATATTAGGCCTCTATCGATTAGTCCTACCAGTTGCAAGAGATACGAGCAGAATGAACTTTTCAACAGGCGATAATCGTTAAATAGGTCATTATACAACTTTGCATACTAAGTATAAACTTGGGCGAAGATTTTGAAATGGAATTGAGAATTCTATTAGCGTGTGAAATACGCGAAACAAAATTAAAATTCTGTAAATGAACACACAAAATGTTTATCTTAGTACCCATCCTACCGCAGTCTGAGAAATATTAAAGTATGCTATTCGTGAAAAGTCAGATATAGTCAATAAAATTGGTGTAACGATAGAAAATAAAAGAATAAATAATAGAACAATACATTTCACAGAAAACACTATGACACTAATTCTCACAGAGCACATAAATAGCTTGTATTTAACGAGCCAAATGGAGAAAACATTTCGTGAAGTTTATTCATATAATTTTAACTTCGTTTTGCGTGTTTTACACGCTAATAAAATTCTCAACTGTGATTTATAGGAATAAAAAATGAAAAAATTATACTATCATCAAGCACAAATGATAAAAAAATCGAAATGAGAGAGAACCGGGGTGAAAAAGTCTTCTCGTTTTTTATACATCTACTTGACTTTTATCAAAAATAAAAGAAAAACCAACAAATCATGCGCGTGCGCATGCTGCTCAAGAATTACAAGAGATAACCATAATCACAGTGTAACACAAACACATAAGAGATCAAAATCAAATGCGATTCTAAGACAATAAATTCTACAAATAATAAGAAGGCCGCGCGACTGAAGCAAACGATAAAAACTAATTGGACCATGTTTCACGCTAGCTTCACAATTTGATCAACAAAAATATACATATTTTGGAAGCATAAGAAATTTATCCCCCAAAATTCATTTTTTTTTCTTAAAGCTGCATCTGTAAAGCGAAACCGACAAGCTTCTATCGAGTTAACAAAAAAAAAAGTGATATATTGCTCATTTGATCAGTTTCTGAAACACATGCACATACACAGAAATGTACAGAAAAAAGCGAGATAAAATACACATTAGACAAGATCGTATATCCAAATGATAAGTAGGTACAAAGTGTTTGATCCGGGTTTTTTCTCTCAAAATAAACATATTATGAAGGATGAAAACGTGTATATTTTGCACTGTCTGGATGAATTTCCATCTCTGTACTTTTATATTCATTTAATTCTTTGCGAATAGCTGCTTTATCACGCGGCGTTAAACGAACCCAAGGTTTATCACCACGACGATCAATTTCTTCAGCTTCTGTCACTTCGATGTAATCACAAAACCGAATAATTTTCTTTTCACGTAATTCTAGAAAATAAACAAGAAAAATAATATCATGTGTAGTCATCATTTGTTAAATTTAAACTGTCAAAGAAAATATTAAGACTACTAAAAAAATAACAGTAGTCAACATCGACGATAGTGCATTCTACCACTTAAATTCTATCGTTTGTAGATTAGAAAAGCTTAACGCCAGCCTACAGTTTACTGTGAACTGTACACTGATATTTTAAATTTCAAAGCTATACTCACCTTGTATACTTGGTCTAAAACTTAATTTTCTAATAAGAAAACGTTTCTTCTCTTCTTTCTCTGCAATCAATTCAGCTTGTGTTTTCAACCTTAAAATATTTCGTTGTTCTAACTCTTCTGGCGACGGTCGTAACGATAATTTTCGTTCTAATTTTGTTTCGATTCGTTCACGTTCATTTTTACGTTCATCTTTATTAACTAAAATATTTTTTTCATATAGTTCAATGACTTGGGGGCGGTCTTTAAGAAAACGTGCTAATGAATCATTTCGTTGTACATTAGCAAATCGTTTTGGTATAGACTCATTCGAGTTATTATTTGAATTATTTATATCGTTTTCATCGTCATCGTCTTCCATATCACTATCCGAATCTCCATTGTGATTTTGATCGCCATTATCTTGTTGTTGGTGGTGATGTTTACTAACTAATACAATAGGTTTTGGACTTGGACGTGGACTCGGTCGTTGATTTTCTCTTAAAACAGGTATCATTCGTCGTTTAAGACCACTTTGTTTTTTCAGTGCACTTTTTTCGGGTTTACGTGAAAGATCCGGCTCTTTTGCTGGTACTTCTTCGTATCGTGTCGTATCGATATCTTGAACCGTTTGTTTATTATCGTTCGAAAAACCATTTTGGACCGTTGTTGTGGTCATCGTTGTGGAGGATGTAGAGGGAGAAGATGTTAATACAGACGGCATTGAAAATAATACTTGACGAGGTTGTTCAGTAGTACTGATTGGATTGTTACAATTGACAATAGTAACGGATGGAACTGTCTAAAATAATAAAAAACTTATTTTACTCATAAGTTAACCTTACTTTCATCGAACATATAGCTTATTTTAATTTGATACTTAAGTAACTCAGTCTCCAAATTGATATTATTCAATGCTAAATGTTTACAGACATACCACGTTATTGTTATTATTCGGTGGTGGACTTGTACTAACTGGTGAACATCGTATATTTAATTTTTCTTGTAATGCTATAATGACGGCACTATTTGTACGTTGTTGCGAAGGAGGTTGTGATATTTGCAAATTAGCATACACGGGCTGAGGTGGAAGTGCAGATTGAGCTTCGTCTTTGTTGTTAAAAGTAGTGGAAATAGATGATGGTATCATCTGGTCTATGGGTGTAAAACGATTTGTGATAAATTTTTCTGGAAAAACTTTGAAACGTTGTTGAGATGGCAGTATATTAGACTCTGTTACATTAGAAGAAGTGTTGTTAAATGATAAGGTAGTAAGATTAGTGTTATTTGAATTTGACTTAGATAACGACGTAGGGGGTATCGAAGATGAAGCGACAGTTGAAGAATTTGTGTTATAATTTGTTCGAATTGGCGTTAAACGGTTTGAGTCTGGTTTTGGTGCAACTAAAACAGATAAATATAACAATTAGGCTTCATAATACTGTGTGGATAACGCTAAATATGCTTACTTACCAGGAGGAGGAATTCTCGGACCTATATTCGTAGCTGTTAACGTATTTGTTGTTGGAATTGTTGTTGGTGTAATCGATACGGTTGGACTCATATCTGTCAACGATTCTGATATTTTAAATGAAGATGGATGTGGTGGTGGAGAGATTGGTGCAGGTTGTTTTTTCGTCACTGTTGGCGATGAGTTATTGTTGGTATCCCGAAAATGTACAGGTAAAACTCTCTGCTGTTGTTCTGTCGTACTGACAAGTATTGGTGAATTATTACTATTATTTGTAGTTGTCCATGGGGATTGAATATAACGATTTTTTGGTGATTCATTCGTCGTTATAACACTATTAGGAGCTTGTGGTGTTACTTTTTCTGAAATGATAATTCGTTGATGTTGTGGAGTTATCGTTTTTGCTGTTGGCGTAGATGCAACAATACTATCGACCGATAATGAACGTAATGTAGTTGGTGGAGGTGATGATGTGTTGCCAATAGGTGTGAAATTTGGTTGGTGTTGTAATGGTGGCGGTGTTAATGGAAGTTGATGTTGTTTCTTACGTGTACGCCACGATGTAAAACCTTGACGTAATATTTTTTGTATAGAAAACTTGTTCATTCGTTTTAATGCTTCTTTATCAACAGGATTTGAATTTTCATCATGACTGTTCCCCATTTCATAACCAGACGCAATTGTTTCTTCGTTTTGGTAATGATTAACGGTTGCTGGTAAAGTTTTATTTGACGCTGAAGGCATTGTGTTGGACTTTAAATACTTCCCATTTGTAGATGGAATAGCAGTATAATTGGTGGTCGGATTATTTGACGGAAAGATATCATAATCATTTACAACAACTTTTCGAGATATAATGGGCGATGAACTATTATTATTATTGTTGTTATTATTAAAATTATTTGTTTTTATACCATTTGTCGTGCGATATTGACGTTGATCAGATGCCATTGACGGCACATCCTAAAAATGGATAGAAAAAGATATTTTGAAACTTTTATTGATAAAAAAGAATAGAACTGAAAACTTGCTACATACAATAACAATAACAATAAAAGGTTTAAAATGAATTACTATATACTAAATAGTATATCAAAATTTTTCTTTGATTAAAATTAGAACTATTATGTTCTTATCAGCTAGTAGCTTAATTCTGTGCAGGAATGTGTCGGCAGTTCTGCGTTCGAATTTTTCTTCAATCAATGATTAATCGAGATGTTCTAATGACAATTCTCATTTCGCATTTTTTATTATTTTTTAAAAATTCATCTTTTCTTATTTCTTTTTCATTCTTTCTTTTCCCATTACGTGTCTATATTTCGATCATTTTACATTTTTATTTTTCTCTTATTTTAAAAAATAAAGTTATTACAGAACTGTATGTATGTATTTGTTCTCTTATCAGTATCAATAATGTAGTAAAGTAAAATATATAATCAAAAGTGGTAACTTAATGTTGTTTAACTGACGAAGAAGTAGGAAATGAGTAAGAAAGTTGATATATAATACATAAATGACACAAAGATATCTTGAGTATAGTATGTATATATTTATAAAAAAGAAAAAAAACTTCATGCCACCTTTTTCTCGTAGTCTACTCTATTTATCAAACTGTCACTATTTTTGAATAGTCAAGGATCAAATGACCATATATTCGACGTCAGAAACACCGTTAACATAATTTTCCATGTGAGCTATGTAGTTTACACTCAGTTAACATTCTTTCTACTAAACATTCGGAATATAATCAAGACAAATTTTATGCTTTTTGTATTGCTTTTTGATAAGGTCATGAAATAATTGATTTGAGTTACGTGATGTCTCCTATCTCAGAAAAATATACAATTTTGTTAGTTTTTTTACTATCAATACCATTAGCTGATATTTTAAAGTCAGTAATACTGACATACTTAGATAGAATGCATGACTTTTTTTCATTTACGTCATTTGTTCCTAAGTGTATCATTGACTCTTTTATAATTAAACAAAAATTTAGTATAGTGGGAGTGAAGATTTATACGGACGACAGAAGCTCTACAAAAATAATTTTTATTGGCACTGATCGTGCACCGATGCGCATCAATATTAGCAAGTGTCAGTGATCTACAACATACCATGCACATCAGTGTCGCATCGAAAGTTCTTTTGTAGAACGACGTTATTTTTGTTCGTGTATGCCTATACGGATAGATAAACAAGAATCAGTGATTGAGAATTTGTTTTAAAAGTTATCGATTTTTATATGTATATAGTGAAGAGTCAATCCGTTAAAATAACAAAAAAAAAACTGAGACTATTTGCTCATGCTAAACTACAAAACTATCAAATTTTAATCATCTGTTGTCTTCTGTTGTTTTCATATGTTAAATACAACAACAAAATCAGTATTACTTTTCATTTTACAAAAAATACATTCGTACGTGAAAATACAGAGAATCTTTCTGAAGGTTAACTCATAATTGAAGAATTACTAAAACAACGAAACTCACCGATGCAATACACATAACTTTCAAAGTGAATACCAACATTTGTCTGAATAAGTGAAATAAATTTTTTTATAAGATCGTTAACCAAAACGAAAAGTTTTCAATAAAAGATATCTTGAAAAATTCTTTAGATCCACATAAAACACAACAGATGTGTTCATCTTTTTTTTTCTTTTCGATTTATTTTAACTCAGTCATGTTAAATTCATACAATATATGAATATTGAATCATGCGTGCAAAAAAAAAAAAATAATGAAATTTCTCTCTACCTTTGTATCATCGAACAACTGTTGTTTAACATTATTATTATTATTATTATTATGTGGATGATGTAGACGTGAACTATTTAGACCCATATAGATGACGATGAGAAGAAGAGAAAAAAAACAACGAAGATTATTTTTTTTTGTTTAAATACTTTGAAAACTACTATTACTATTACTACTACTATTAGTGTACAAATAGCACATTACATAGTTTTTTTTTTTGTTTTGTTTTTAATATAGAGCCAATCTTATTTCAATTTTTTGCTTCATTTCCAAGTACATATACATATGAAACTATACCATTGTGTCTCGATGTCAATGTGTAAGTGTAATGTAATAGACAAAACGAAGAAGAGGAAGAAACGAACGGTCGAGCATCTATGACATAGTTGATTTTGTCATTTTATCAAAACGAAAAGAGTAAGCAAAAAAAAAAGAAGAGAATATAATTCTCAAGTGAAAAAAAAGAGAGAAGAGCTCATTATTAATTAATTATACTTTGAAGGTTAATAAGACGCTATTAGTTCATTTTTATTTCGTTATTTTAAATTTTATTATATATACTCATACAAATAAAAATATTGACATTATCAACTTTCAAAACCAAAAAAAAAGAAAAATTAAACACAATTTATTGTTATTTTAACATAAAAAAACCAATATTAATTGTGATCTACTGATAATAGTAACGAGACGATTGTTCTCAATAAGTGATGATAATATGTTTGACTAGACATACTATGAACTCTCTACTGAAGAGAGACTAGAAAAAGAACACCAATGGTATAGAGAAAGATAAGACTAAAGATGACTAGATCAATTATTAAAATCATTAGATGAAAAATAATTGGATAAAATTGTCATAGAAGATATCAATCAAACACATAGATACATACCCAAAAAAAGATACAGACCATTGATTTACTAAGTGATTTCTACAGTGTTTGTGACAAGATTGTATACCACACCCTAGGGTCGTTTATAAAGGTCTAAATCATATTGAAGATAAAATGTTGTCTCGCAGAGATAGTATGAAATTTCTTTGTTCAAGAGCATTCAACGGTAAAAAACAAAAAGTTTAATTAAAAAAAAGACTTCACTAACGACATATTTCCTTTTTTAGTGACGATACCAGAATTTTTCTAATAATATGTACGAGGGAAAGAAGGGATATATTGTTCTAAAGTCATAACTATAAATTAGTTTTTGATGTTGCGATCGTCACTTTCATTTGAACGTTTTCATGATGGATATCTGATCGATTAAGATGTTAAGAGAACCCTCCAGCTCTGAAAGATGATGATTCTATGTTAGAAGAGCAAGAGAGGAAGTGTGAAGTGTACATTCTTATGAGAGATACTATTTCAGAAAGAAAAATAACTTGCCGTACTGAAACGGAGCCAGAGGATAAACAATTTTATACTCATAAGTTAGAGGAACAAGCGTGTAGTGCAAATACTTTTGAAATACTCTTTTAAATCTTCATAACAATTATGAAGATTAAATACGAAAGATTGGTCTGTAAAATAATTCATTCGTTTTCTCATTCATTTTTCTTATTCAAAGAGATAAAATAGTTAAAACAGGTTTGATCTCTTTTATAAAAAACAAAAACTATTCATATATAATGAGTATTCATGCGGACATTTGATAAAAAAAATGAAAGTGTTCTTTCTTCTATATGGCTATTGCATGCAAATTTAGAACCATCTTTTCGCTTAAATACAAGTTTTTCATTTCAATTGAAAAGATGGGAAAACTGAGGTTACGAAAAAACGAACAAAAAATCCTATGAAGGATAAAAATTATTTATTTTTAATAAAGTTATCTATTATTATGAAATCTTAGTGTAATGAGTTTCACTATCGTAATCGAAATCACTGCTGTGAAACTGCATCGAACGATGATTTTTGCTGCAAATATTGTAAGTCCGTCAAACGTGGTATTATGAAAGAAAATGTAACGAAGTTTTTGAAAAGCTATATTTTAGAGTATACATACACATACATATTATACATGGACTAATTTCTATTCTGTAGAAAAAAAGATTACTTAATCAGAATCTTATCTGGTAATTAACTAGAAAACCAAGTCAGTAGTAAACTAAGATGTTAGTAGTTCATCAACCAAGTACTACAATAACAAACCGTAATTACGTCAGTGTACAAAATGCCATCAAACTTGAAAGACGTGAGGCTTGAATCAGATTATGACCTAAGTGAAGAATATCGTCCAGAACGCCTAGAAGTTCACAAAATATTTTTTTTAACTTGGCTGATGAACTCCTGACATACTAAGGTTGTGATTTAGTATTCTCTCATATTTAGTGGTCCTAGTGTTCGATTTGTATTCCATCAGGGTGGAGTTCTGCCCCTGGCAAAAAATATACTTTGTGAACTTCTAGGTGCTTTGGACAATATTCTTCGCTTAAGTTATAGTTTGATTCAAGCGTTAAGTCTTTCGAGTTCGAAGGCATTTTGTACATTGACGTAATTACAGTTTGTTATCTTGATTTTTGCTGTGTTTCTGATGTTCGTTTTCTGTGTGTGAGGTAGTCACGAACAGTTGACTCAGGAGCATTCTTTCCTTTCTTTATTTCTATATAAATTTGTCTTATACAGTATATGTTAGAATTAGTTTGCAGTAGGGAACATGGTCTAAGAACCTGTTGCTGGGACATTACAATATTAAAGACCGTCCTAAGTTTCGCTGTCTCGAAACGGTCGTTGTAGCACTTGGAAACAAGTTATTAGATTCGAACCAGTTAGCATAAAGCAAACTTCTAAATGTTAGTTAAGAGAAGTCACACAATGTAATTGACCGTTAAACCAGTAACATGGCGACTACTATCCATTTCAAAATAGAGTGTCTGCGCATGTTTGTTGAATAATTCTTAAAACGACAGAGGGGCCGTGTTTGCATCATTCTGTAGCGAAAGCTTTATTTTCTATCTCTAAGCTCTATCTTTTAATGTATTTGAAGTTAATCTTGGTTTTACAGGTGTTGTATCTGTCACGTGAATAACGATGAGATTGTCAGAAGGTGTGATGAATTTTTAATTGTAACGTGATGATAGTTCGAAGTGTCCTGTATAGTCTTTCGTAAGACCGATCTCTATGTTCTTCTGTATGGTCTCGGATGACAGAGACTTTTCAGAGACACGCCTAATTGGTTGCCATTACACCTGATAATCTCCGAAATAATAGCAGACATAGGTTTTAGGCCGTGCTGAGGCTCGTGGTAACGTTTATTCTCATAAAAACTCCAGAACATATTACTGAACCTGATTTTGCTGCAAAATCTAATAATCTGCTGTTATTTCTGAGATTATCAGATGTAATGGCAACGAATTAGGCGTATCTCTGAAAAGCCTCTGCCATCTGAGACCATACAGAAGAACATAGAGATCAGTCTTACGTTCAAATATATGGAAAGATAAAACAAAGCTTTCTCTACAGAACGATGCAAACACGACCACTCTATCGTTTCTCTCTCGAGAATTATTCAACAAACATCCGCAGACACTCTATTTTGAAACGGATAGTAGTCACGGTTTCTTCATTCAAATTGTTTATACTATTGAAAAAGAAGAAGCACTCGTTTAACATCAACACAAAATGTAATCTTTGATCCGAATCAATTCCGATATTGTTTAAAGACATTACATAACAATCACCATCAACCACTTGCAACTGGCTGCAAAGATTATTCCATGGATTGGGTCACGGCTCTTGATGTCTCGATGCCTTTCGATTTATATGAGTGTAGGTGGAAGAGTATATTTTATTGTTGGGTTATTCATCTCACTTCCGTCAACTAAAATGGGGATATTTAATTACATCTATCGCTTATATACATTTATATCCTAATCTAACAAAAACGCCTTTTTTTCTTTTCTCATAGCTGCCGTCCATATCAAACTCACAAAAGGAAAAGAAAAACAGGTAAGAAATGGGCAAAAAAAAATTTGTAATTTTATAAATGCCGAAAACAATCATTATTCTCGTTTTTTTCTCTTGTTCTCATGATCAACAACAAGAACAAGAAAAAAAATGAATAACATGCATAATTTTGTACAAAAACAACATAGTATCACATAAGTAATTCAATGTCAATAGTAGATTGCCCGTTAGGGAGAGAGAAAACATGAACGATGTATGCGTATACCTTTTAGGCTACTGACTTGTATGGGGTTAAGTTTTTTTTATCAGTACAACTAGAGAAGACTACCGCAGAAAGTGACTATTTAAGTAAAAAGGATGAACAAATCATTTTTCTCATTTATATTCAATGGTTGTGATGTCTGGTGCCTTATATATACACATATGAGCATAAAACCTTGTTTCTGATCGAATATGGCTGATAAACCTCTCATATGTGAGTTTGCGATGGAAATACAGATAACAGATAGATTTCATACAATAAAATCGAAAGTTCAATATTAAGCGAGGGCATAACACATACAAAAAGTATCCACCAATCACACAGAAAACAAATACAGAAAACAAAAATATTCTATTTTCACCTAGGATATTTGATCTTTCTCGCTTAAAAAAACGTATCATTCCAATAGGTAATAAAGTTTTTTTATAAAGACTTTATCAAAATTATTTTTCTATGATTAATCAGATGATGCTATAAAATCATTTAATATTTTATAATAACTTCACAAATATGATCTAGAAATTTAGCATATGCATTTCCTTTCATGTTACAATATAAATTAATTGTCATCAGTACCGGAACATTCCAACTGTCATACAAGAACTAAGAAAATGAGACAATAATTTGTTTCCGTTTTAAAAATAGTATTTTTTTTCTTCTTTGAATACACGTGACATCAAAGAATTAGTTAACTAGTCTGAAATTATTTTAATTACCGAAAAATTATCCATTTTTTTAACCTATATGCATGACACTTTCTCTATTTCAACATACGTATCATGAAAATAATATCAATCAAAATAAGAAAAGCAAGAGTTAATGAGACATAACGTTTTTTTTACATAATTGATTTCTGTCAGTAAGCTTGTTAAAATTGAAACGTCATCCTATATGACACTATTATGTTATTTTTTTAATATTTTTCAACTGTTCACCAAGCTCTCGTTTTACTCGTTAGATTTTAAATACAGTAAAAGAATGTTGGATTGATAGTGAATGATTAAGTTTAGGAAAATGAAGGTTTATTATATATATATATATATATATATTATATATACACCTTTCTTCTTATTCTCTATTTATCGCTTTAAATTCAAAAACATACCATTTGCACTGATATTTGCATTTTATTTAAAATAGAGATTACCACAGATTATTGAGAGACTAACTGCTTTTCGAAGTATAAAACAAAGTATATACACGGTATTTTCAGAATAATTACTAATTTCTATAGATAATGAATAGAATGAAAAAATCTGATAACTTCAGATATTATGTTCATATACATTTTCTCTCACTGTTTTTCTTGTATATAGAGAGAAAATTTTCCACTTTGTGAGATGATTAAAGATTTTTTCAAAAAAAAAATATAGAGAAAGTAAATCGACAGTATCGATTTTTTTTTTATTTCTCTCTAAGTAGAATAAGTATTGTTCTGCATCATTCACAACAAGATTTTTCATTATCAATTGTCTCTTCTGTATTGTTAGTAAAAACTAAATTATTTAACTAGATAATCATACAGATATCCTACAATTTCAGATTAAGAAAGACGCATAGAAATAATATTGATATTCTATGTTTCCTTCGTAGAGAGTTTCTATCAGTTTTGATTGTTAGTAGAGAAGGTAATTCTCTTGAACTCTTATAATAACATCTCATTAAACACACTTTTTGCTATCTACAATAATGAGATTCTTTTTTTCTTAAAATTTTATATCTTGAAGACAATTAAAGAAGTCATAGTTTGATAAATAAATCTTCTTATAATATTATGCATTCTTTAAACTTACACTAAAATTGTAATCAAACATTTCATAAAATTCTTCCTCATCTTCATCGTCATCATCATCATAAAAGCCAATTCGTGTATCCTGAAAATCGGCATATTCTAACGTTGTACGATCGTTATAACGTCGTGGTTTCGAATTATTATTATTACTTATTTTTGGTGGTTGTTGTTCTCGTCGATAGACTCCATAAATATTTGATGCATACGGTACATAAGGTGACGGTTGCTGATGTAAAATGTTAAAACGAGCCGCAGACGAGGATCTTATATTGTCAGGTGGGCTCATCCATTGAATAGCTATAGGTGGAGATGGTCGATGAGATAATATATTTTCGTATGATGAACGATGAGATGACGATAAGTTTGTACCAGAAGATGGTAAAGATTTTATCGGATATAATACGGGTCTAGGTCGATGGTGATTATCGTTCATAGTTGCACGAAAGATCGCGTGTATATTTTACAAAAAAAAAAAGATGAAAAACTACCTGTCACTTAAACCATGTCGCTTGTGATTTTCTCTTGGGTTTTTCTTTTTCACTTTCTTTTTGAATTTTTTTTTCTTCTTTATTTTATTACATTACAAATACTATATATATAAATATATATTTCTTTCCTACTTCGGTATTATTATTATTTCTTTAAAAGAAACGTACGCACAGAGGCAAGGTGACAAAAACCGTGTTATGTATGTTCAAATCAAGTTTGATTTTCTTCTTTCTTTTCGTTTTTTTTCTCCTATGTTATAGTTATAAACACAAATAAATACACGAACAGAGAAGGATAAAATTGAAATTCAGAGAAATAGAGAGAGAGAAAGCAAAGAAATCAAAAATAAAAGAATTGTTTTATTTTAAATACCAAACCGAGTGTATTTATAATCATTATATAGAACAAACATAGCTCATAGAATACAGTTGCATAAAAATAAAAATAATAAAAATTTACTTATAGACGCTGTTTCTTTCATTTAATAAAAAAGCTAAAAAAAAAACTACGAACGAGTAAACAACGATCATAATTACGTTTTATACTAACCAAACGCTTTATTATGCTTAAATAATCTCTTATTTATAAAATATTTTACAATTTCTTAGCTAGGAATTATTCAACGGTATAAAGACAGATCGAAAGGTAAGAGGATAAACAGTTATCACGTCTTCTGCTCATAAATGTTCAAATATAATGCAAAATTCAAATTTTAAGCATGAAAGAACACGTTGTGAAATTAGGATCACTAAAATGAACGACGAGAACTTCTACCATCCCATCAGAAAACGACTAACTTATACTGAGATTATCAAATTGAATTTCGGATTATATCTCATGTTTTCTTCTCTAGTAGTACATATTCATAACAATCGTTATAGTATTATACAGAATCATGAAAGTCAATTATATTCTGGCAAGCTAAACACACTACGGTCACATTATATCGTTAATCACGATTAACTTTATGCATAATTAAAGATGATTAGCGTTAATTACGTTTGAGTGTAGTGTAACCGCTCTAATCATGATTAAATATATTCATAATCGTTAGCTTGTTTTTTAACCGTTACTATCGATGAATTCATTAAAAATGCTGATTACACTATATCTGGATATCCCAAATAAAGTAGCTATTGTACAATATTCGACTGTTGATGCTATTGTGTATAATGTAACAGCCCATTGTTTAGATGCTGATATAGTTGGACATTGTTGTGTATCTCGTCTTGCTCTATCAACACCGACTGTTGTTAATAAATAAATAACTCACATTTTGCTAAACTTGAATGGACTTACCGGAGTTCAAGGTTGTCTTATTAATAAAAAGATCGATTTTATAACATCGTCCATTAATAAACTTGATTTATATTTATATCTAAAAATAGAAAGAAAAAATTCAGTTTTAAAAACTTTATAAAACATCACTAATATCCTATCTTCATTACAGGCTCGCTGTTCATCCTAAAAATCAAAACTGTGCGTACTAACACAAATGATTTAATTCAGCTGAGATTAGAAAGAATAAAGAAAAGTCATAATCAATTAAGTAGTTCAGAAATTATGTTTGCCTTATTCGATTGGATCAGTTTTTATTTGATAAAAAACAGTATAAATGACCATAAAAAAAAATACCATTAGAAATGATAAATCAAACCTTATAGAGAGAAAAAATAATAAGAAAGTGTTAACGCCAATTTTTTAGTCGTAAAAAAATGTTCATTGAATATCAAATGAAACAAATATAACAGAATACATATGTTTTTTCATCGTTTGTTTTGATTAAATGTATTGTCTGATACTCATCGTGAGTAATTTCTTCACTAAACTCTGTTTCATTCAAATATATAACTTTTTTCACGTAAAAACTACCATCAACATGATAATATTAATTTCGTTCATAATCTTAAAAATTTATTGATACTATTTTTTGAAAATTCTCATTTGTTTGTAGTAGAATTTTTAAAATGTAGTAATAATGTTGAAGATGATAACAAACAACGAATAACTAACTGCACGATGGTGTTTGTGAATTTCTATGAATATTTAATGAAATTCTAAACTTTTATGTTTTTTTCGCTTGATAAAATGTGTAATTAATTTTAGACCACTTATTTTTTTAGAGTTATACCTATTTTCAGATATTGGGATATTGCTAACGGCAGTTCTTTGATATCTATTCTTGCTTTTCTCCTTAATATTTGCTTTACATTTTGTTGAGACATATAATAGAAGATATTTCGTAAAATCAACTATAAGACAACAATGGTGATATTCAGATGAATTTGTTTATTTGTTTTTTCCCATTCAATAATACCTAACAACAACAATTTTGTGCAAAACTTTTGTTTTTCAATAAAATTCTAGCCTTTGATATTGAATGCCGAATGGTTGGTACTTCAGATGTCATTATCAGTAGGATTGATATCGTAAAATAAAGATATAGAAATTAGTAATTTTTTTTTATATACGATTGGAAAATAAATAATTCATGAAACCGTTAAATATAATACGATCGTGAGTATATAGTCATCAAGTAAAAATGGTGAATTAAATGTGGTAAGAGTTTTAAAGTACGAAACGATGTTATTGACATTTCGAACAATCTATCACAAATAAATATTTTCATAAAGCTATAAATTAATGAACGTAAAAAGAAAAAATGTTTGTATATTAATCAAGATTTGAGCGATCTTCTCTTCCAATAGAGGAATGTAATTACTCTTAGTTCTCATAGCAGCTGTGATCCAGATCAAACAATCAAAAATAAGTTTTTTGTTAGTCTGGTCAGAATATCTTAAAACAGCATTTATTTAGTATTCAAGTCGCCTTATCTCACTAGGAAACGGTTGTATAACAGAAATACTAGAAAAGAAAACACACTAATATTTATTCGAAACTGTCTCTTTTGTTATTTCGAACGACGATCGCTTTTTCTTGAAAAAATTCTCATTTGCACCATCTAATAGCATGATCTAGAAATCGAAAAATTCCAAATTTTATAAGAAAAAATTTCATATTACGTGCACATCATTGTTATTAGTCGATGTCATTTTCCATTTTATATTATTTAATGTAGATTTCTTTCCTAAATTATCTATGATTAAATTAAAAAAAGAAGTTCGATAGGCTGAAGGCATCAGACTTGGTAGATAATGCACAAAAAAGACAACTTTCACCAAAACCTGGTGTCTTTGTGTTCATTCTGGTAAGTCATCGTACTAATTTCATATGGAGCAGAGAACACCAGCTAAGCCTGATGTAAAAGTTCGGTAGCTCTTGGAGATTATGAATATCCACAATATGCGATCTTTGCGGCAAGGCATGGTAAATCCCTACTACAGATTGAATGTTTGTTGAATCCAAAGTAGCAGAGAACACTCCTTTTCCTCCTTTCTTGTTCCACATATTATTTTTTTAAGTCGATGTTCAACAGCGTCTTTTATCAACAAAATTAAAAACACCATCTTTTTTCACAGCAAAGCACAAATGAATCTCTTCATCTTGATACCCCTCGATCGACACAAGTGCAGCACACGTACGCGAACTATTCATTCATTTCAGACGTACAATGACATAGACAAACGGCGCTTGTATAATGCAGTGGGTCGATTTAATTTTTCTCAAACTTACCTCATTCATCCTTTCCTTTCTGAACTGCAATAGATATGGGAAACTTTCGGATCTGTCAAAGAAACGTGCTCAGCACTTAATAGATAAACTCAAGAAACGCTAGAAAGTAGTCATGAGAGGGTATAGCGCTTATCTTATGAGAAGTTAGTAGTGTGTAGAAACATGCCTTGTATATAATATCTCGTATTTTCGGTCGATCATTTTGTTAGGGTTAAGTGTATGTTTTTTTCTCTGAACATAGTGAGGAAACACAGATGGTATAGGATGAATCATAGAAAAAAGTGTACTAATGATTGGAAGAAATAGACGAATCCAGTAAAAGTGCACAAGTAACTTGAAAATCATCGTCACTGTCTTCAGAACCAAATTATTACGGGATGTTTGTATAGAAACAGTACAAGAAGAAACGCGATAATGGCCATTTTGCTCTGAGTCTTAAAACAGCTGTTGAACAATTAGATAACAATTCTTTATATCATCGAACCGAAAAATTTTAAAAGCGTATTCGATCAAAATCGACTGCAGATTCATATTCTCTATAGTCGATTATCTGGTACGTGATAACCTTTAGAACGGGGTGCTTTAGAAAAAAGTTTTCTCATGGTCTTGCTCGGCAAAAAGGTACGTTACGGGACTAAAGGCAAAACGATATCAAAAAATTTGTCTGAAGTATCCCGATCCAAAAGTTATCACGTACCAGATATCGATCATGGATAAGACGAATCTGCAATCGGTTTTGATCGGAAGAAGTTTTTAAAATTTTTCGATTCGGTGATATACATGCCACTTGTACGAGTCTGAGACTACGCCATTAAGCTTTGAAAGTCTTTATAAAAGGTGTTGTAGAAAGAAATACCTACTTTTTTTTGGATATTATATTGCACGTGTCAAGAATGGTTTAAAATTGGTAGAACTAGATGGCTGATTCTTGCAAAGACACGAGAACTTGCGTGTGAAACGCCCATTATATGTATTACTTGGAAGAATGGTTAATATGCTTTCAGAAGTTTATACGTTTGAGGTAAAGGAAGTTTCTTTTTCATGTGTGACACATATCTCTCTCCATCACACCTCTCTCAAAAAACAATTTAAATTGCTCGAAAGTCTCACGAAACATGTTATTCCTAGTTCATATTATAATATTGTCAGAAACTGATAAGACGTTAGAGAAAGAGTTTTCAGTTCCATCTGCTACTTCTTTTAATATACAAAAAGACTCTTTTAGTAGTTTCACGAGAAAAAACGTTTTCCACAAAACAGGTTATTACTAGTTTTCTCGCTTTTATCATGGGACAAACAGTATCGCGAGATGTAAATTGATCGTTCATCTATTTTTGTATTCATTCTTAAGGTTCTTTGTGGCTGCGCAAACTTGATCCGGAAACTTTTAAAAAATGATTTGCCAACAGCACCTCGACAGTATGCTCGAGGACTATTGAACTATTATTGCATGTAGAAGAGCATCGAATCATCGCCACTAGTAAAGATATCATGAGACTAGTACTACGGTCAAAAAATTAAAAGTTTAAAAAACAATATTTTTGCGGTAAATAATTAATAATAACGATGTTCAGAAAGCATCTTTAAAACATTCCCTTTGCAGCTCGTTAAACGTTCCTTAACGTGGCTAAAATTACACAATGTGAATAGACCTTGACGACCTGAATACGATCTATTAACTGGAAGTAAATGTAACACAATGCTGTTTTAATAATTGCGGATTCTGAAATACTTGTATTTAACGAGCACTCAAAGACATATCAGAATAGTAAAATTGATTCGTTATTAAAATGCCTACATAGAAATGCTTTGAAAAATCAAAAAATTGGAAGCCTAGAAGCAAATTTAATCTCCGTCATTATTTGAAAGTAAAAAAAGAAAAAACGTATGACAGTTTTAATGGGTGCATGAATAAGGTTTCTCTTTAAAAGAAAATATTTTACATGAATATTTATTCCTTTAAACGAAAAATAAAGAATTCGCATAATCGGTAATATGAGGCACGTTTCCTTTCTTTTAGATAGCATCTGAATTTAGTTTATTTTTGATTTTTCTAACTAATAATGACAAATGACTACATATCAACGTCAACGTCAACCTTTTGCAGCTTATGGAAGACGCGGTCTACCAAAAACAACGGCACAAGATCACGATATGACTAGGAATCAACGGTAAAGTTAAGAATGTTTATATAGGATACAAAACCTCGTCTAGTTTTCTTGAATCAAAAAATTTAGATTAGACAATGAATACAATAATAATCAATCTATGTCAAATAAACCAACGTCAATTTTAAAGAAAACCCCTAGTAAAAAACAACCACCACAACAATATCAAAATGGATGGCAACCTACCAGTTATAGGTCAAATCAGGACACAACCCATATTGATTTTATTCCATCCAGACCTCTCTATTCACCTGTTTCAACACCACCCCGTCTACGAGCGTATGTTTGCTCGTTTAAAAGTTATACTGCAAACTATCGTTGTTGTTGCTTTAGTTTAATTACGCCTCCAGGTATTGAACCGTATCGTAATCGATATAATTTACGTTTATTTACAAGTCCGTTACCATCGTTAGACGATTGGCAGTAGGTGTAATGTATTTGCCATTTTCTTATTGTGATATTGATTTTTTCATTAGACCACCATTATCTCTTGACACATGGGGCATTGATCCCGTTGATTATCGTTTTAATAATCCCAATCTATATCGACTTCAACCATCGCCACTATCACATTATGGACTACCTGGTTCTAAACAGAAAAAGGTTATTACCTATTATCTTTTGCTTGAAATGATAAATATAGATATTTTATTTTGACTATTTCTAGTCTTATATTGTTGTACCACGATTACAAAATGTCTCATCAGCAACAATGTCGCGTCAAAACAGTTCGAAGTTTAAACCAGATCCTCGTTATCCATACTTGGAAACAACGGCGTCGGCAAAATCGACAAGACTTTTAAGGGTGAGTAATTCAAATGCTGCTTGAAGATTACTTATGGAAAAAATCATATTATTATTATGACATGTCTTGCCCTCATGTTTTCTATTTCGAGCATGAAAAACGAGACTAGATGAATACAAGTTCATCGTTGTTATTGTATAGAAAGAAAGAAGGCTCATTTTCGTTTGAGAAGAAATTTACCGCTATATTTATTTTATTAAATTTTCTATTACCATTAGCAATTTTTTTACCGTAGTTCTATAAGGTGAATTCCCGTTTCGTCGAAAGCTTAATTAATTTTCCTGTTTCGTCGAAAAAATAAAACTTGAAGTAGAATATAGATTATTCTAATTAATAAGGTTTTTATAAACAGACTAATTAAAAAGAATGCTGAATTTAAATTATTGTTTTGAAAAATACATTATTAGAGAACGAAATAAAACAAGTGATAATAAAAACAAAAATCAAAATTTTTTGATAGCAATTAATCGCATCACTTTTTCAAGATATTCTTCCAGTGTTAAGGTTTGTTGTTTATAACGATTTTCTAAATCGTGTAATCATGCATTTCGATTCACAAATAGTTTTTTTCTGGGTGGTATTGCGCCGGTGGCTGTATGACGTGATGATATTGCTGAATTATAATCGTTTTGAATTGCACGAATAAACATATAAACATGTGGATGTATGATATGATTTAAATCAGTATTTAATCGATGATGCCAACCTTCTAAGCTATTATTTGTTCTTGAACATTTAAAATCAAAATAATTCCACAATTATAAATCGAACAACGCATCATCATCCACCCACGTACTTGTGACATAATCGTAAAATACCTTAATTTCCAATAAACGGTAGTGTTCACAATTCATCCGACCCATATTGTATAGCACGCCCAGGACACGAACGGTCTTCACATTTCCAATAAACGGTAGTATTCACAATTTTGTCTTGGGTGTAACGAAAAGTATCAAGTAATAAAATTTTTTTTTACGTTTACTTTCAACAATAGATAACATGAAATATAATGAAAGATATAGTAGAGAAATCATTGTGTTATAGTTGAATACAAATAGAATGGATAGTGATTAATTTCCGTTCCTAACTGCATGTATATATATACTACATTTAGAATAATTCAGCATTCTTTTTAATTAGTCTGTTTAGAAAACCCTCATTAATTAGAATAATATATATTATACTTAAGTTTTATTTTTCGACGAAACAGGAACAGTTAAAGCTTTATTTTCGACGAAACAGGAATACTAGAAAAAAAACTTTCGACAAAACAGGAATATCAATTAAGCTTTCGACGAAACGGGAACTAACCGTTCTATAATAATAGTGGCCCACGAAAATTCGAGAACGTTTTGTTTCACGCACAAAATATTTATGGAATGTTGCATTTTCAGAGCAAGTTTTTTACTTTAAAAAGTCATTTAGCTGAGATAAACAAAGCATATGTCGACTCGCGTGACACATATAACTGATTTAAATTTTAATATAAGAATTATTATCATCGAGTTTTCATATACAACATAACAAAAGTAAGAACTGCTTACCTTTTAACAAGAGAATACCAAGACTAACGAGAAAATATGGATTTCTATTTGTTACATGTATAAAGAAAAACAAAATTTAAAAAAAAATATTGATCAGAGAAGATGTACAGTCACATTATTTCTACTAGATTTTCAGTAAAATCATTCTACCGCTACTATAGTTAAATAAAATTTCATTGTTATCGATAACAAATTGTCGATTATTGCTCTTTTTTATCTTTGTTAAACTAAGCAGAAATAGGCAACTAGCAATTGAAAATAGTTATAAACTTCGTAAATTGGGGATCAACAGAAAAAAAGGTGACATTACCTACCAGCATAATTTGTACATATCTTTTGAAAATTTAGCATGCTAATAACTGACGAAAGAGTTTGCATTAGATTGAATTATACTGATCATGAGATTGATCTATAATACAATGATCAAATATAAAAGTTAAAAAAATTATCGCAAAAATATTTCATTTCACTGATGGTAACAGTAGCACTCATGTCATTCAGTCTTGTTCAAATATTCTAGTTTTCTTGTCAATAGTACTACATTACAAAAAACCTTTCATTTTTTGATCATCCATTTTACATTCAGAAAATTGATAAATAAGAGAACACAATTATTTCTTTGTTTTTATGAGAGACTTTTATTTTTCATATAAAAAGAAGGTAGATAATAAATGTAAAGTTAAATGTTGAGATTTAGTTTCTCTTCTCATGCAATATAAGCTGAAAATAAACATAAAAGTCTTTTTTTCATATTGACAATGTGATAAGAGACAAATAAATGACATAAACTGTAGCAATAGTCGGTTCACTTTTTTTCTATACATTCAATCTAGACGAAAAGTGAAAATTTTGATAAAAAATGTAATATCTCTAGATTTTAAAATACTTTTTAGGAACCATCCGATTACGTTTATCTTCGAAGTAATGAAGCATTTGCCAATCGCTATATCGATGATTTTATTGGAAAATGTATTGAAGATGAATATATTCCAGACATATTAATTGAATTAATTGCAGAATTAGAAAAAGATGTAATCCTAATATTTAAAAGAGTAAATTAAAAATCATACGTTATATTATTTTCTTTGTCATTTAGAATAAAAACATAAAACCTGAAGAAAAATCCTTTAAACAAGATATCGATCAATATTATGCACAACTAAATAATAATTATTCAGACGATACTGGACGGTAAATGATGATGAAAAAACCCTCTTGTTCTCTGTAGAAGTCTGACTCATGTTCAAAATGTCTAAATATATAAAAAAAGACTTAACATTTATTACTTTCCATTTTCTTATGAAACTTCTTTTTATGCATTCACACGAGTCACAGTGGGCATTGATGGGGACATGTAGGAATAAAGGCAAAGTTGAATGTCATTAGTGAGTTTTCTAAATTTTCCTAACGTTTTTTCTGGCTCAAACTTTGATCATATGCTATTTTGAGTGTAATGCAGCGATGGTACATGCGTGAACATACACAAACTTTCCTGTATCTCTTAGGAGATTCTTGAATAATCGATGGATTTTTACATATTTTTGACTTTTCTGAGCTCCACAACATTTTTTCGTAAACTCAATGGCATATTCGGGCTCAGCTCTTTATATGGCATCAAATGATGTGTATTAGAAACTTGCTATGCCTACTGCGCGAGTGTAGAAAAAATAGAAATAATTAAAAAGCTGGTTAGCATAGCCCCTTTGGGACTAAAATACTTAACTCGTCTAGCTAGTAAAAAATAGGTTTTTAGATCAAAAACTATAGCGTATAAATGAATTTAAGACACTCTCCACATCCACTTATAGGGCAATCCCTTTCATTGTCCAGTATCTCTTTCAGCTAACCTCCCATACACATTTAAGTCACTAGTCATGTCCATATTCATGATAGTCTTCCTGCCATCACATGCACCACCACCACTAAAACTAACCACAAGACCAATTTAAGATACTCCCCACAACTAGTTTTAAGACAAAATCTATAGAAGCTCAAGATACTCTCTATATATTTTAAGATAGTTTACATAGTATTTTTAGATAATATCCATAACTATTGTCCATCCAAAAAAAGAATGGTATATGACTGTTTTTTGAATAACTTTCGATAGGAAAAAGTTAAGAGCTTCAATTTTCACCATTCGAAAGAGGAGACTTGGGGACATGTTTTCATAACCAAAAATTTTCCCAGAAGAGCTTTCTGGAACAGGTTTTCCAAGGGATCTTTGGAAAATTAGCTGGCGTGTAAAAATTTTCCTGCGTCTTCAACGACTTCAAGATTTCAGAATGTGCAGTATTTAAGCTATTCTTTATCCTGTTTATAGGAAATCTAAAAAGAAATCTCACAAAACTCTACGGTTTTACAAAAGGTTTTCTGAAAAACCTTAAATACTCCACATTCTGAAATCTTGTAGTCGTTCTGATGTTTACTGAATGATTAGCGAATTTTTTAATATTAGGTGAAAACAGCCTGAAAACACAAATTTTCGTAAAACTCGCTTTTCGGTAGAATTTTAAAACTTTTCTAAAAACAAATATTGCCACGAGACGCAGCGTGGTCCATTACGCATAGTTCATCCGTCTTGAAGGCTGCCAATCGTCACTGGGTGCCAGTCCTGGGATTCGTAGGAAATCCGATACAACGCCCGAAGCGTGGAAAATCAAGGTATCACTTGACTCTGAATTTGAAAAGGACACCCTGGGCTATCAGTCTGTGAAAACAAATCAATACAATCCTATTGGAAAATTTTTACACGCGAGCTAATTTTCCAAAGATTCCCTGGAAAACCTGTTCCAGAAGCTCTTCTGGGAAAATTTTTGGTTATGAAAACATGTCCCCAAGTCTCCTCTTTCGAATGGTGGAAATTGAAGCTCTTTAGCTTTTTCCTATCGAAAGTTATTCAAAAAACAGTCATATACCATTCTTTTTTTGGATGGACAATAATTTATAAGTTTCCAGAGAGGATGATTGAAAATAGGGGGAAAATGAAAGTTAACTTTTTCAGATTTAAATACAGATTCATATACTTTGAACTACACTCTATTTAATGGCATAAAATTTTTTTATTTCAACTTCTAAGGACCTTCGAAAAATACTTGATCAAAAATTAGTCTGAAACGTAGCATCCTGGAGAAAAAACCTTTTTACTATTAGATCCAACAAACTAAAAATGTAAAACAATACTTATTTTGAAAGCTGACATTTCTGGCTATCGGTTAGTGAGAAACAGTTTCGGTTAAGACTTATATCTTTTGAGAAATAAAATAAGTTTTCAAACTAAGTCGCTTTCCTTACAGCTATCTCCAGTGTAATAAAGTTCCCCAATTTTCTACAGCTTCAAACACGATCAAAGTTGGCCAAAATGTTCGTCTCTCTATACCTCGGCATCAGCATGTGAAGCTGAATTACATGCTGTACAACATCGCGGGTTTTTAAACAAAGAAATTACTAGAAAAAACCTAAGTAAGGATCCCCGTGAAGATTTTCGATCAAAAAATGTTTTTTCAAAATTGCTTTGTTTTGTTCGAAAATGATTTTCTACATTAACAGAAAAATTAAGTGTCGAACCAAAAAGCCAGCAAAAAGTTTCCAGAACCCCTTGGTTCTCCAGGGATCGTCCAAAAAAAACAACAAATACAGGTTTTTTAACGGTTCTATTCGATAGAGCATAGCCAAAAAAACTCTTTTCATAGTTATTCAGCACTTAATAACCGTTTTATAACATATGTCCACCTACTCTAGCCGAAAGTGCTCACTGTGTGGGAGGGAGTTAATTTTTATTGAAACCGATAAGGATTCAAGTATAAAACGGTTACTAAACTAAACCTTCGGACTAATTAGAGAAGTTACAGAAAATCTAATAATTTTGACTTCTCATAATTCGTACTGTAGACTATTCGAAGTTTACATCTTTTGTTTTAGTTTGTTTTCTGATCAATGGATTAAAGAGCTTGAGTATCGACGTCCGATAATAACAACGACAACATCAAATATCAATTCAAATTTATCGTTATTTAATAATATTGATTTAAAAGAAGTTCATCAACAACAATCAATAACAACAACATTCGATTATCAAAGAATGCCAAAATTTTCACAATTACCACCAAATACTCAAGAAAAAATATTGACAGATATTAATCAAGATATTATTGATTTTGAAATTGAAAATATGATTACAGAAATTACTGGACAAACATTGGGATCACAGGTAATAAACTTTTACTTAATAATAGTTAAAAAATAATATCAGTCAACAATTTATTCACAAATAAAAAACAATTTTCTTAGTTAAAACTCATCATTTTGTAAATGTGATTGTATTGTCCAAATGAAACAAAAAAATAAATGTGAAAATAAGAGTACACAAAATTAATTTTCAGTGTTTTTTTGTTTATTTTAGTTGCAAAATGTTCCAATGGTGGGTGAAATGCAACGTCAATTATATCATGAAATTGAAAATGAAGTTATTCGAGAAACATTACGTGATTTATCCTATGAAACACTTCATTCTTATCATACACAAATTGATCAAGTACAATTATCAGCTGTACGTAAAGAAAATAGTATTAAGAAATTAGGAAGAAAAGTTGATTGATTTATGTTTTATATACAGGTATCAAAACATGCTGAAAATAAACTATTAGATACATTGTGTTTGGACGATTTAATTCGAAGATATATTAAACAAAATGGATCGGTAGCCGATGTCGATGATTTATCTCGATTACTTGACAGTGAGTATAGTAGAATCTAAGTTTTTCTGTAATGTTTGTAAATAATATATATTATTCTATTAATTTTTGTTTTTTTTAGGCTCTGTGTTAAGTGTGTTAATTTATCAATATCAGGATATACGTGAAACACGTGCAAGAACATTGGATAATTATGCATTTCGAAAATTTCATTTGAATGCATTTATGAATATTGTAAGTATTATTTAGATTTGTAAAGAGAAAAATCATACTTAATATAAAATCTCAATCTTTTTACGAGTAAGAGAATTGTATGATATCGGAAACGTGTTTTTAGGCAATGGATCTACTACTCACAGAATTAAGTGCTAGTCTTATTGAAGATATGAAAGATGTCGACGAAGTTGAAAGACGAAATTTTTAAGTTGTTTTTATCTTTTATTTATATTATGTGTATGTGTGTGTGTGTGCATAGTTAGTTTCTTGTTGGTTTTCTTTTTTTTTGCTTTACTATATCTGCAAGTTGTGACAGAGATACATAGAAACTTATTTTTTGCTTGCTTCATTGAATTCAAAACATGTAAATCAATGTATTCAAAATCTTACCGATTGTGACATATACCTGCTTCAAACTGTACTTCTTTTTCATCTAATACTTTTAAAATTGGCTGCAGCTTCTAGAATATTAACGCTGTTATACCAATTCGTACCATTGCTTTTACAAAAAATTAGGTTAGATAAAAAATGATTGAGGCAGAATGGTTAAGGTAATCAAATGGCAAACAAAATGGTTTTGTTAAGAATTATGTAATTGTTTAAACTTTTCTGGTACTTTAAATGAACTGACGCTATCCACAAATTATCTTAGAAATCCAATAATGTCAGTCGCTATTTAGGAATAGATAAACTGAAAATATTTTTCTCTTCTGGGTGATCATCTTTGTTTCAGACGAATCTGTCGACGGACAGCCTTCAGTATTTTTCATGGGTGTTAAACTTTTTACTGCTGATCGCTACTCGTATATCTGTTGTATATATTTACTGCTATAAAACTATCACGATAATAATTTTATCCTTTTTAATTATTTTTTCTTTCTTCCATTATAGCCATATTAATTATGACACACCAAGTGATAAGTAATCGAATGATACTAAATTTGTTGTTGTATTTGTATTTTTGTTGTATATTGTGCGTATCTATACGTACGTACGTGTATAGTATAGCTGCTGGTCAGCATGAACCAAAGCTGTGATTTTTCTTTTTTTCTTTTTGAAATAAGTGTGTAAGAAGAGAGGAAAGCGGAAGGAAGTATTTGTTTAAGTTGTCGTTTCCACTGCATGGCGTTTCTCTTTTTTTTGTGTCACAAACTATTGTTGTTGGTATTTTTTACATCTAATAACAAACCAAAATATTTATTATTAGAAACTACATCTATACGAGGATCAAGTCAAGACTACCTAAACCACTGAACCACTATTAGAAAAATCAAGACGGGCAAAGATGAGCGGGAGGAGATATTTCAACATTCCGTCCTATAGGATGCTGATAGAGCGGGATAGTTGCTCTCTGATACCGATAATAGTTTTGAGAAGACGTTTATAGTTGACGATACGCCTTCATTAAATGGAAGTTTTTATAATCGAAACTGTTCGCTTTGTCCTTCACCTTGTCGATCAGACAAATAAGATGGTGATGGCAGCCACTTTTTCTTTTCTCTACACGCGTATCTATTACATACAATGGGCATTTTGTATTGAAAAGTTAAATTCATTTTCTCCATTGAATATATCTCGGAATCATCGTTTCTAGTTTTCTGAGTTTATTGATTATTTTGGACGTATTACTACTGCTTGTCCATGTGGATTATGTAAGATTTGGAAAAAACAAAAAGCTGAACTATTTTTTTGGTTACCTACTTCTCCATCAGCACCTTCACAATCTGGTTTTATAGTCACAACTTGTTTTAACATTTGTAACTTTTTTTATGTATATTCTTGCTCGGTTTTCCGTAAAATGTCGAATTGTTCCGAAATATAATCTTCATAAATCGTCAAACATAGCGTTGTTAAAACTGAGACTATTTTCGATATGTTTATCCATTTCTTTTCCAATACCTATATATACAAACAATACTAGACACATATGTTTTTCAAGCATAAATAAATCACAAATTTTCTACTCAAATTTCATACTTAGACGCTACATCCAACAATCGTTCAAACATACATTGTGAGTATATGTGAGTGAATCTAATGATATACGTTTCGTTGATCTTCGACATAGTACTGGTGGTAGAAAAAGGTGGATGAACAAACCATCAGTTGTCTATTTCCTAGATTTTCAGGAAATGGTTTACTACATATCCGAATACCTATGCGTATTTGTCCAATATCTTTTGAAAAGAAAGACAATGACAATCCGTATTCTAATCTGTACAATATTGAAGTCGGACAATAAAACTATGAATTCTTTAAAGCAGCAATTATATTTTTGGACTTAAATGACCCCATTTTGCAGTATAACATGTCCAAATAGATAAACTGCGTCTACCACTTACTACATCAGCCGGTAAGCCCTTATAAGTCTTAATTGTTTCTAGAAACTAAAACAAAATAGCGTCTAACATGTATCATCTTTTTTTAATGTACGCATAAAATAATCGGTGCATTCATTCATACAATATTGATAACATTTATAATAAGTATTAATAACTATTATCAAAATCATCGATTGCGAATAGGTCTGTTAAAGTTCAGGTCTTCTTTGAAAGCACAGAACGCTAAAATCCGTTCGCGTTCGGGTGAACATGAACTTTATTTTATATCTGTAGTGTTGGGATTGTGCGAAGTACACATAAGATTCTGCAGGAACAATAATTGCATCAAGCCATAGAAAGAATTCTCTCTATTTTCCGACATATATTCTTCTATTTTCTATCAAAAAAAGATGAGACTTTTTTCAGAAAAGCTTTATTTTAATATAGGTCTGAAACAGTCACCGTGGTGTCTAAGCGTTTTATTACCAAGAAAGCGATGGATAGATACGGCAGCAAAAGAAACAAAACATTTGCCAATAAACTGCGGAATCGGAATACAGAATTTTGCAATCTCCGTATAACAACACTGTTCATTTCCCAAAGTGATGATAGGTCATAATATATTTTTGACAATTTAGCATACAAACCTAATTGCTGAGTTGAATCTATGGGGCCAAGTGACCTGTTTAATGCAGAAGCTATAGAAACTCTAAAGAATGTTTTCTATCGCCAGCTACAAATTTTTCAAGTTTTTACATATTTTGTCACTTCTTTTAGCTTCTGAAATTTTTTCAGCATTTCAGAGAATAGAGAAAATTTTACTATAGATAGAACTCAGCTAAAACTAGAACAAGCTCTTATACTGCTCAAAAAAAAAACGTCTCCTTCCTACATAAAAAATCGGTTAAAAATACTGGTATGTCAAAAAAGGTACACTGTAAAGTTGGAAATTATTTATGGAAAATGCCCGGCGAATTTCAAAGAGTACCTGAGGAATTTCCAGTTTATAGAAAATCGAATTTCCAACAAGCTAGAAAATCCTCGTTGAATTTCCATAAATAATTATTTTAATCATACTTTTGAGAAATTTCTGGTGAACGTCCCCGATTTTCGAACCTTGCTACCAGAACTTTGTGCCACCACTGTCTCCGCCTAAATCAAAACTCTTGCTGGCATAGGCAGAATTATGACCTAAAGTAGAAACTGTCAAAGTTGATTTAAGGGGGGCCCCCCCCCCCCAGCGAAATTGATGATTTTTATTGAAAACGTGAAATTGAGTTTCTTGCTCAGCTAGATAGGCCGAGGTCTACTCTTTCAGAATATGTGTCGCTTTCTA